CAGTGACGGCTGAGGGGCGACAACGGGGACACCCGCCATCACTGAAGGGGGGCTCTTTCACCAGTCAAGGGAGGCAGGGACCAGGGCTGGAACAGTGAGCACCGAGTCCAGGTGGTGTCTGTTTGGCGAGTACACTGAACCTAACCACACTTGCAGGCCCTGAGGCACAGCCTTATGTGCCGTACCACGTAGTGCACGTGGTCATGTGTCCCAGTAGCTTGAGGCAAAATCGGACTGCTGTGATTGGATGGGCCATGACCTTGGGTATCAGGTCCAACATTGTCTGGAATTGAGCCTCTGGAAGAAAGGTTCTGTCCTGGTCAAGTCGAACACTGCCCCAGTAAACTCTATTCTCTGTACTGGAATGAGAGTCAGCTTCTGTTCCTTTATCAACAGGCTCAGTACTCAGAAGGTGGCTTCGCCCATGCGGATGCTGTTCTTTGCTTGGACTTTGATCAGCCAGCCGTCAAGGTACGGGTAGACTAGAATGCCTTGCCTTCTGAGGAAAGCCACTACCATCACCATGCATTTTGTAAGAACCCGGGGGCCGTGGACAGGCCAAAAGGAAGAGCAGTGAATTAATAATGAGTCTGGTTTACCATAAATCTGAGGAATCTTCTGTGGCCACAGAAGATGGAAATGTAAAAGTAAGCAATCTTCAAGTCGAGGGCAGTGTACCAGTCCCCTGGATCCAAGGATGGGATGATGGAGGCTAGGGAGACAATGTGGAACGTCAGTTTCTTGAGATAATTGTTGTGGTGACACAGGTCCAGAATGGGACCAAGGGCCCACTTGGCCTTTGGGATTAAGAAATTTTGGGAGTAAAACCCTTTCCCTCTCAATTTTTGAGGTACCTCTTCCACAGTCATCACCTGTAGGGCTAAGAGTTGTTCGTGATAAGGGTCCCTGAAGAGGAACGGGGATGGGTGGTAGCAGGCAGGGGTGAACAAAAACTGAAGGATATAACTGCCCACCACTGTATTTAGCACCCAGTGGTCTGACGTGTTGTGGGACCACGCCAGGCTGAAGTGGGAAAGTTGGTCCAAAAACAAAGGGGGGACAGGATCCAAAGCAGGAACTGGCATAGTGCCCTCAGGTGCACCTTCAAAAGGCCTGCTTGGGCCCGCCCAAAGTACCTATACGACCCCTGCATTGAGGCGGAGGCAGATGGAAGCAGTTGACTGCGCTTGTAACCTCCGCTTCTTCTTTTGAACAAGTCCTGTCTTGGTGGCAGAGCCGAAAAAACAGGTTGGCTACTGAGGCTCCAAGTGTTTCCTTGAAGGGGCTGGAGCATAGAAGCCCAAGGACCCGAGGGTAGGCCTTGAGTTCTTCAGGCCTTGGAGCTTTATGTCCGTTTGCTTCAAAAAACAACAATAAGCCTTTGAAAGGGAGGTCCTGAATCAACTGTTGGACCTCCTGAGGTAGCCCTGAAGACTCCAGCCAAGAACACTGCCTCATAGCCACTGCAAAGGCCACTGGCCTGGCCACCGTGTTGGCTGCGTCCAGGTCTGCCTGGAGAGAGGTTCTGGCAACGTTCTTTCCCTCCTCTAAGAGGGCAGAGGATTCCTGCCTTGAGTCCTGAGGCACAGAGTCTTTACATTTGAGGAGTCCCACAAGTTGTAATTTTGCATCTCCCAAGCAGGGCTTCTTGGTTCGAGATTCATGGCTGTAGTCTGCCTGGCGAATAAATGTTTCTCCCAAACAGATTGAGTTTCTGTGTGTCCTTCTACTTGATAGGATATAAAGTCATCTTGTAGCAGTGAGCCGCTTGGTCCAGAGATGGGAGGAAAAGGAAGAGGCCTGTACCGGGGGGGACTACTTCCTCTTCTTCAGTCTCAACTACCTCAACGGGGTCCATGTCCTGTGTCAGTACTGGGTTCAGTGCCGAATGGAGTGGTGCAGGAGCTCTCCTCTCAGAAGCAACCGAGTAGAACCGGTGAGGAGATGGACCCGATACCAGGGAAAACCCTCATGGGTTCCAGAATGGCCACTGCATAAGCCCTGACCACCTGGCAGGTACCAGCGAGGAGAACCTCACCAGGGTCCGGCAGCACATAAGATGGGTACCGGTAGCAGTTCTTGGACTGGGTGTAGGAGGAGTCCTGAGGTGACCACAGGGGAGCGGTAACCCTCACTTCCACGAATCAGTGTTGAGAGTCTGGCAACAAGTGCTGGACTGGGGTTGACCTCATAGAAGAAAGTAGGGTCAGTTTGCCCCTGGAAGGTATCAAAGGTCCCGGTGCTGGGAAGGAGCTCGGAGCACCATGTTCTCTCCTGCTCATGCTCATCGGAGCTGGTGGTTGTACCATTGGAGTTGGTGGTACCAGGAGTAATAAGTCCTTGGCTGCTGCAAAGGCCTCTGGGGTTGAAGGCACCATGATTCCACTGGTGCCACAATGACTTCTCGGCATCAGCAGAGGGTCCCGCAACAGAATCAACATTCTGGGCGGAGTCAACGGTGCGGAAGAGAAGGAAGGGGGCGGAGTGGTCCAACATGGGTTGCACTCTACTACCTTCCCCTTGCTTGCCTTTCTTTCTTTGCACCAGCAAGCGCCCTCTCTGATTATTGCTTTTTATGTTTCTTCCTCAGCACCAGAGATAGAGAATGGTATCGGGATACGTGCAATCCTGGAGGAGTGTTTTGCACTGAGGCCCAAGTGCTCTGTGCCAAATGCAAGCAGCTTGGCTCCAAAGCCAGTCTAAGAGCGGCTTCTATTAGGATAGACCTCGATCTAGCCTCTGTCTTTCTTCGTACGAGGCTTAAATTCTCAACAAATTTGACAGCGCTCTCATACGTGAGCCACTCCCAGACACTTCAGACAACTGGAATGTGGGTCATGCCACAGGAGGGGTTCTAACTATCTACGCTAGTCTTATTTATAATATTTACGCTACAATTATACTAAGATTAAAAAACTAGGAAACAGACGAAACCACTGAAAGACGCCTTGCCAAAGCAAGAGGAGCTGTTTCAGTAACCATCACAGGTGGTAAGAAGGAACCCAGAGGGAGTGGGGTCCGTGGGGCCCTTATACCGATGCATAAGCGCGCAGCACCAGAGGGTGCTGGAGCCGGCCCGACGGATACCACTGAGGGAAAAATCTCCGGCAACAGTGCACATGGCACGCGCACAACATGGAATGGACATGAGCAAGTACTCAAAGAAGAATACACACACTGAAAAACCTAGATAAGGTGTCAAGTTAAAACTATGAATTATATATACACACATACACACGCACTTTTTATTGAAGGTTAATGTTTGTGGGAATAAGTGAACCTTTAGGAGGGGTATGAATACTGGTAGGAGGAGGGAAGTGCTTGGCTTGCCAACATTGTGAGGGTTCATGCCTATGGGCAGTATGGAAGAAGGTACAATGATGGGAATGGGAGGGGGAGAAGGAAAGAAATGGGACAGCAAGGGGCTGGCACTCTAGATCGAGTGACAGGGAAATGAGATGACACAAGAAACCAGAGCTAGACTTTAGGCCAGCTGAGAGCTGTGAAGGCCCTGCGAGGCAAGAAGCTTAAACCTGGTACATAGGCAAGTGGAAGGATCTGAAGAGGATAGAGAGACAAGGAAAGCAATTTAAGAAGCTGCTGTTCAAGTTAAGCGCTTTCCACCAAAAACTCTGTCTTCCTTCAAGCCCCAGAATGATGAATTTAGGGACTATCACAGCAAATGAGGTGATCCTGACTTATGAGATGAGGAGCATATGTCCAACAGAAACAAGGCCTAAACCCTAGGGCTTTTTAGAGCAAAACCAGCATGAATAGCATCTGTAAACGCACTGGGAGTCTTTGTAAACGGTGTAACATTATTAAGAAACTAAAATAATTACAGATGACTTGATGAATTATTTTCATATAGTTTGCTAACCTAACTCAAGTGCAGTAGTTGAACGGCAACAAGAAGTAAGATCCAATTCGTGTTTTTGAAGTTCTAACTGATCAGGTTTCCATAAGTACTGGATTTCTTTATCAAAGCTCCATAGTAACCACTCAGCTTATTCGAAATAGTTTACCTGTAATGCAGCCTTATGCAGCATTTAAGGAAAAAAACAAAACAAGTAAGGATAATGGGCCTACAGCAATTATTATAGCTCATGGTAACTAATCACGTAACTTACTCCTTCAATGGTCAATTGATAGTATGTACCAAGAGAGGTCTTAATCCTGTGCCAGGTGCTGCTGCTCTCTAACAGCAGCTATTACTTTCCAGCTATAGCTTTTCCCCAAAAAAACTTCCATCCTATTCCCAACTTCATTTTGCTACTGAATTTTCTTATTAAATTCTAGCATTACAATAAGAAAATGAATATTGACCCAGATCTTTATAACTATCCATGCGACTGAAGATGCTTTGTTCCACTTTAAATGGTTGCAATTTTCCCCAACATGCAATAGCACCAGTTAGTACATATCCAAATTTGCCAATAATTTACTTTCAGTTAGTGTTTAGCTTTCACATTCATATACATTTAAATAAGAAATACAAGCCAAGCTTCCCCTTGGGTTTCCTTTAACTGTTTGTCTACAAGAGTGGCAGATACTCTCAACTTCAAAACACTATATTTCGCCCCAATTCAGGAAGAAAGTAAAAAGAACGTACATCTACAAGGCCACATGGAGGATGCCCTTTCTATAACAATTACAGCAAGCAAAAAGTTAACTTTATGGCAAAGAAGACTCCAAGATACCATATTCAGAGTCAGGTTTCTAATAAATGGGTTATATTTCTTAGCATTTGAATATAGTCATTCAGTAGAACAGTGAAACTGATATTTTAGCTAGCGCACAGAAATATTGTGACCTTGTTTGGTAACACAATCCGAACGTCTGCAAACCATCTCTCCGTTTAATTACCTGTAATTCTATTTCACTGCACTGCAAGGACACTATTTCTAGCAGTTCTAATGCAGTTATGCTCTGTTGCTGAGACATACCAAACAGATGTACAAAATGTGTGTACAGTTTCTATTTTACATTCCTTCAAGTACCTTTTGTTGAATAGTGGAGTGCTTTTGCTCCATATCTCTCTTCTCCTTTGCAGCATCTACACCCAACTGATCCAGCTGTAAAGAGAAAAAGAAATTTGGCTCTTTAGACTTTATAATGCACGTTAGAAAAAATATATTATGTCTAGACATTGCATGACTTGCCTTATACACTGGAAGGTCACTTCCTTGATCACAGAGCTTTACCTTTAATATCAACTAAAGTCCTGTTTAAAGCATTTTACTACCATTCTGAATTAACAGGACAAATTTTCCTGACACAAAACCTCTTTGATAGGTGTACATTTCCTTTAGGCTCTAAGGAAAATGTTTCCAAGAATAGTATGGTGCCAGGGATATGTGACTGGTACACTGCATTGATGACATGTTCAGCCTCTGAAGAAAGGAATGACTCATGCTTTAGCTGCTCTTGCTGGCTGACTGGTCCGTTCAGCAGCAGTGGCATTAGCAGAGAAAGCCAGACAGAAGGGGAGGTTGGGGACTTTCCCCTCCAAAGAGAAGGTGGTGATGTCCCCAGCTGAGCTTTTTTTAAAATTGACAGCTCCCATGTGCTCCCTGAGACAGCATTAAATGGGGCAAGGTACTATAGCTATTCAGGTGGTTTGCGGCTTCCCAGATGTTGTAAAAATAGTGATTATTGCAGAAAACATGGCATACAGGAGATATTTCTAAAAAAACCCACATTTAAATGTCTTAAGATAAAAAATATCACTATTTAAAAACTGTCTTGTAATAAAATATCAGTAGAACTATGACAATACTGTTACTGATGTCAGTGCTTTTGCCCAGAATTACTTGAGAGAGATCTATGAATATATGACTGGTTAAAGGGTATTCTGATGTGGTGGAGATGGAAGCTCGTTGACAGATCCTTTGGTACGATACAGCGTGGTATAATATTTTGTATACTCTTGTAGACTTTAGTCTTTCAACATCCTATAAAAATTAAGTACGGTAATTTGGTCCTTTTACCCCAAACCAGAATATTATACTTCCCTCAGCCCCAATCAGTGTTACAAGATCACTGAACATTAATGCAGATAAAGAAGTTACGGTTGGAGGACTAAGAGTTGGCACTAAACAGAGTGATGACCAGCAATTTTGCATATGTGATTTTGTGCAGCCTTTGCCCTACCTCAGCACTGGGGTAGCAAAGTTGTATGTATCAGAGAGCAACTGCACTTCACCACCACAAGTCAGTCGTGGAGAAGGGCACAGTATCTGACCAACAGAATCCCTAGTAGAGAAACTCATCGCGTAAAACTAACTATGGGTAAGGAAGTCTGCCCAGCCCTTCTCATTTCTACCATTATGGCAATGCAAAAGGGATGGAGACTGGCCGCATCTCTGTTTGCCATTTCCTCAGGAGGAATAGATGCTCTGTAGCTGGTTCCTCTGCTATCGCCCCTCTACCCTCTAGTACAGCGGGTGTCCAGAGCATGCTTTACTCCAGTTATCCTTGGGGTTCCATTACTATCTGGCCATGTTTAGAACAGGCCTTTGACTGCTCTAAACTTCATAGGGCCAGGCCTGGCACAAAACTGACCTCAGAATCTGGAAGCCGTACTTGGCTTCTTGCCAGCACTCCCCCCACCCCGCTGCACAGGGTGGAAGATGACTGCAGTACTAAATCCCCGCATCATTCTAGAAGTCTTGCTCTGCTCGACATTAATATGTCATTGGATTGTATATGCTATCGTTGTATGTGAAGTTATGAAGTTTGGCTAGGTATGTATTACTGAAACATGTTCTGACGTTGAACACACCCACAAGCAGTCTTTCAGGTCCAACAGTAAAAAGGCCAGACAATGTTAATAGCTTATTGAGGAAATGCACAAAAGCACCAGGATTACCCCAGCAACTTTGTACAATAGAAACCTCTCTCTGTGTAGAGATAGCACTACACAGTGGGAACTGTTTGACCCAGGGCATAGCAAAAGAGCTTTCCAGAAAGTGAGAAGATATAAAAGGGAGGAAATGACATCATGATGGTACCTCACTCTCCCTACAACACCTGGAAACACCTGAGGAACAAAGACCGAATGGGGGGAAGTGATGGTCCCAGGCTAAAGGGATTTCTAGCCTGTGTATGAAAACCTGGGAAACCCAAGCTGCAAAGCCAAGGTAGCTTGTGCCTTAAGAATCTGCCAGCCTCTTTACCACTCAGGGTGAGAATTTACTAATTCATATCCTACCTATCTAGTACGTTAAGCTCAGTTTGCGGTTTTGTTTATTTACTAGGTAATCTGCTTTGATCTGTTTGCTACCACTTATCACTTAAAAATCTATCCTTTTGTAGTTAAACTTATTTTATGTTTTAATCCAAATCAGTGTGCATTTAACTAAGGTCTCTGGGGAAAATCTCAGCTTGGTCACCACAAGCATGTATGGTCCTCTTCACATTGAGGGAGAGGCGTACAAGGTGTTAAACCCATATACTGGCCAGATTTGACCGTGACAGGACAGTACTGCTCTGGGGTCCTAGGCTAGGAAGCTGGTGGTTAGAAAGCATGCATGTGACTGCAGCTGGGCGTGTCCCTACCTGTGTGAATGCTGGTGAAAGTGCAAGCTTGGAGGCCTTTGCAACTAGTCACAGCAGCACAGTGTGAGAGGGAGCCCAGGCTGGTGGGTCAGAGTGCTCAGTGGTACCCCAGCTCCAGATGGCACCCCGGGGGGAATCAATCACATGCATTTGTTCAAAAAAGGCACAAAATAATTTTCTAAGCTGATTTTTTGCAGCTGAATCCTTTCACATCACTAGCTGATTTTGCAAAGGCCTTATGCTCAACTTGACAGCATTTCTGTTGGTCTATAACATGATGACATCTGAACACCATATCTGATCAATTTCAAAATTTCAGGGAGTGTTCAGGCCTCAAAGGGTAAAACCCTATTGATTTGGGGGGAATTCCAAAAACCAAAAGGGAAAAGGGGGGGGGGGGGGGGCACAAGGAGCCCCTGCCACCTGATTAGCAAAGCCACAGCTCTAAGCACCTCTGAAATCGTCTATATATCCAACTAGATGATGACACCTATTCATATCTTCCAGCATAACACTATCCCTGCTCATCCTCCCAGCAGAATGGAACATGTTGACACCCTGAATGACTTACATCCCAAGAGAGAGAAGAAATAGCTGCTCTCCCTGCTGGGAGCCATGGGACAGATGTCAGTCAGCAGAGGCAGCCAGAGGGATAGGAGAGAGGAGGCGGCTTCATTCTTTCCTTCCTCCTAGCCCCCTGCCTACTCCCCTGGGAGGTGGGGTGTACTTTGGGGAAGGAAAAGAAGAGACACTGAGCTCCTGACATGATAATGGGAAAACCTGCTGTGAGATGCAGAGGAAATGGGAAGCAGACAGACAGAGTCCCTGGCATGCAAGGGAAAGGAGCAATGGGCTGCGCACACAGCCCCTGCCTTGGTGAGGCACTCTGGAACAGTGAAAGAGGAATAGGGGATTCCCCCTCACCAGGGGTTCTGGGTATTAGGGGACCATGATATGGGGGAAGTGGGAAGGGGCACACACAAAGCCAGTAGCATGGGGGAAGAATGGGGAACCCTGATATGGGAGCTAGAGGCAAATGGAGTGCACACAGATTCCCTGGCAGAGGGAAACTGGGGGACCCTGGCATGTGGCAGAAGAGGGAATGGAGGTACACACAGAGCCCCAGGCAGCACACACTGGTTAAGGTCTCCCACTAAAACTCTGAACTACGCTCTCTGGACTGACATTTCCCATCCCTGCTTTCAACTGAAGGGTGATGCTATTGCTGAAAGCTTAAGAAAAATCATGTCATACATTTGAATTATGAAAGGAATATGGTTCTCTCACTGAAAAAAATTAATGCCATGCTTCTTCTGTAGAGAGAGCTAAAATCAGCTGAACTTCAAAAGTCAACATGTAAATAGTAGCCATTTTAAAATACATCCACAACCAGACTGGTTACAAGCAACTGAAAATTCACTTATGAGCATGATCAGTAGGTATCTGCTAAAGTTTTCTGTAGAGTCTAATGAATCCCCTCCCATTCTGGGATGACACAATATACCTTCTTTCTAACCTGTCAAATATAGGGGCTGCTACCAGTACAAATTATATAACAATTGTAACTCTCTCATGGAAACTGCACCCTCAGCAAGTTTGCAGATGACACTAAACTGGGAGGAGAGGTAGATACGCTGGAGGATAGGGATAGGATACAGAGGGACCTAGACAAATTAGAGGATTGGGCCAAAAGAAATCTGATGAGGTTCAACAAGGACAAGTGCAGAGTCCTGCACTTAGGACGGAAGTATCCAGTGCACCGCTACAGACTAGGGACCGAATGGCTCGGCAGCAGTTCTGCAGAAAAGGACCTAGGGGTTACAGTGAACGAGAAGCTGGATATGAGTCAACAGTGTGCTGTTGTTGCCAAGAAGGCCAATGGCATTTTGGGATGTATAAGTAGGGGCATTGCCAGCAGATCGATGGATGTGATCGTTCCCCTCTATTCAACATTGGTGAGGCCTCATCTGGAGTACTGTGTCCACTTTTGGGCCCCACACTACAAGAAGGATGTGGAAAAATTGGAAAACGTCCAGTGGAAGGCAACAAAAATGATTAGGGGACTGGAACACATGACTTATGAGGAGAGGCTGAGGGAACTGGGATTGTTTAGTCTGCCGAAGTGAAGAATGAGGGGGTATTTGATAGCTGCTTTCAACTACCTGAAAGGGGGTTCCAAAGAGGATGGATCTAGACTGTTCTCAGTGGTGGCAGATGACAGAACGAGGAGTAATGGTCTCAAGTTGCAGCGGGGGAGGTTTCGGTTGGATATTAGGAAAAACTTTTTCACTACGAGGGTGGTGAAGCACTGGAATGCGTTACCTAGAGAGGTGGTAGAATCTCCTTCCTTAGAGGTTTTTAAAGGTCAGGCTTGACAAAGCCCTGGCTGGGATGATTTAGTTGGGGTTGGTCCTGCTTTGAGCAGGGGGTGGGACTAGATGACCTCCTGAGGTCCCTTCCAACCCTGATATTCTATTAAACTCAACAAGCACAATTCTTCACAACAAAAAATAGACATGATCTTAACATACCGTATACACTTGTTCATTAGCCTGTTCGTTTATAAGCTGACCCCTCCAAGATGGATAGGTAAAAATAGTAAAAACTGTATGACCCTTTTGTAAGCCAACCCTATATTTCCGGGGTTGGCAAACTTTGCCTCCCAGCCCATCAGGGTAAGCCACTTCCCACAGCTCCCAATGGCTGGGAACAGCGAACCGCAGTCACAGGGAGCTGAGGGGCTCCGTTCCTGCCAATGCTCCAGGTAAACAAAACGACAATGTATTAGATATTCAATTCAATGATTTCATAGAGTTTAAACTCAAATTTTGGTGCTGACCCATTTATAAGCCGACCCCTGCTCTTTGATGCATCACTTTTTTACCAAAAATATTCGGCTTATGAACAAGTATATAAGGTAATAGAAAGAAGAAAGTACAGAGGGGGGAAAAATTAACTGACGCATTGAATAAACTTGTACATTTTACAGTATATACTGAACAACATGAACATACTTAACAAAACAGGGACAGATTTTACTATATATGTGGAACTTAATTAGGAAAATTAAGGAAAAGGAAATTTTGCTGTGGGAAATCTGAAAAATGCAAGGAAATAAAATTTATTTTTATGTGCAGCCTTAATGTTGTATTAACTTTTTTTTTTTTGCATTTAATTAGTAACACATTTTTAAATGTATAATTTTTATGGTGACACTATGCCTTCATCTTGGCTATCTCCCAAAGTTTCCACTTTTATTGAATAAATGTACAGTGGCTCTGGTACATACATAGTTCTCCCCAACAGTTTTCCCAAGCACAAATTAGTAAGTGCATTTTAATTCAGGAGTTGTATTGTAACATTACCTGTGCTCCAAGATCATTCATGTATGGCCTAAGCTCGCTAAATAGATCATAGCCTTGATGAAAGAAGGTCAGATGAGCATACATAAAGGATAACATCTAGAAGGAAGAAAGAATACAAGTATATGTTAGAAAGGAGTTTTGAATAGAGCGTTATCAGATCTTGCATACATAACTCACACTGAATGAACTCTCACAAACAAGCTTGAAGTGCAGGGCTTAATTCTCCACTGCTCTGCACTTCGTGGAGATACACATGAGTACAAAGTGAGTGCAAGGTGCATGCAAAATACTACCATTCTGCCTTGGTAGTGCTCTACACCCACTCTGTGGTCACTTTGCACAGGTCTAAATGACTATACGAGGGTCAAGACAGAAATGAATCATCCCACCAAGTTAAATCTTTCATAAACGGGCTAATAAAATTATCCTATAAAACCTGATTGACAGGTGAGGTCATGTTTTAGTCCGATTATTTAAAACTTGTTAAAAAAATATGCCACTCAAACACCTAAGAAACCAGCTGGAAGGCACAGAATCTGCTTGTTAAAGATCCATAACTTCTACAGTTACAGCTGAAATAGCTCACAATCTGCTTCCCTGGGACTTCCAAGACGACTCACCAAAAACAAGAGATGAAACCATCAAGCAGTCTTCATACATTGTGAGAAAAAAAGAAGGGAAGATATCCAGGATTCCAAAGGCACAGAGAAAAAGATTGGTTTGTAATAATGACCCAACCTGTCACAGTTTGTATAATTCATTTAATCTCATGAAAAAAAGATGTGAAGGAATGGAAAGTGGAATTTGAAAGGGACAAAGTCAAGGACATGGTCTCCAGTTATGTATCTGGCACTCAAAAGAGATGAGATTTGAAGCAAAAATGTACATTAGCCTCAAATGGTCCCAATCTATTTTCTTCATGTAAAAATGTGCCATTTTAAAGAAATGAGAGACAACCTTGAAAACAGATTTGGAGAAGTATTAATTTTAAGTGAATGCAGCTTTCCCAAAGGGTGCCTTATTGAAAGCCTTGGAGGCCAAACTATTCAAGTTTCGCTACAAAACATGTACAGCATACGCAATAGCCGTAAAACCTTAGTGATTTCCTCCACCCTGATGTGAAAGGATCACCATTAGGTGTATGTCTACGCTGCAGTCAGAGCTGCAAGTGCAGCTCAGGTGGGCACACCTGGACAAACTTTAACCTAGCTACCACAGCTAGAAATAGCAGTGACGATGTGGTGGCATGGATCTTGGGGCAGCTAGCACAACACACACACATCCAGGTTTCTGGGAAGATTTCTACAGTCTGCGCTGAAGCCCAAGCCATCGTCTCTTCACTGCTATTTTTAGCTGCACTTGCTAAATTAAAGTTAGCATGGGTGTGCCTACATGAGCTGCAATCCCACCTCCGACTGCAGTGCAGGCATAGTGAGAGTGTAATTCACATGCCCACCCAGTCTTCGCCTCTCTTGCTACCACCAGCCAGCGTGCCAGTTGTGATGGTGGCTGTGCGACATGGAGACAGACAAATTCATGTTACATAGGTCGCTGATCAGAGGGTAGCAACTTGTAGTCTCAAATGTTTATTTTTTATATTTCAGATTTAATCAGACATTTTACACATAAAATGTAAAGATCTTACCGATTTTAAGATCTCTGATCTCCTCTTAGATTGAAGAACATTAATCTAGGAAAAAACAAACATCTTGCTTTATTCACCAATCCCCACGCAAACTGCAATAATCCAGGTTATGTGTAACTGTTAATAAATAAAGTAACCTTAAAATATGGGGAAAACAGAATTCAAAAATCTGACTTCATAGAAATTTTTTTTTAATATTACAGAGAAGACTGCAACTAATTGTATTTACCATCGCCATTTACAGTTAAGAGAAAAAACTTGCAATGCTAGAATTCCCAAAAGATGCTCACAAAGTTTCAATATTAGTTGAAAAAAGTATTTTACAAACCTCATGGGTTATGTTCTTAAAATCTATTCATGTAATGCCAAAACATGTCAGATACTTTAAAGTCACTTAAGATGACTGGGTCCCCACCTCTGGGAGCGGAGTCTAAAAGTCTTCGCAAGAATTCTATTAAGCTAATTACATTTTATCTTTGCCACTTCAATCATGCTATTAAGTTAGTTGACATCACTAACCACTTGTGTTCATTGGTTATCCAAGAAAGTAACATTCATGCCCCTTGTCTTATTTTATGTGCAATATCTGATTTTTCACATGTATCTAGTCCTCTTCTTGCTTTCTCGTCAGTGGCTTTAATTACCTGTCACAATATAAGATTTTCTCAAAAAACCCTCACTTAACGGACACATACATTAATGTGGAATTCACTTCCTTAGTATGTCTGTTTAATGCTAATAAGTACAATATTTTTACAGAACTTGTAAACAAAAACAGATGGTATTTTAAAGCTACACATCCAATGCTTTGGAAAGCATTCTGCAACACACACACACACACACTCAGAAAAGACTTTCCTGGATAAAAAAATAAAAGGGGACTCAGAGAAATATTGAAATACAAATTAAATCCAAGTAAATATGACCACAGAGACACTCCAGTAGAGTCCTTTCATAGTGAAGTCATTTTTTTCCTCCAGAAGAAAGCTTCATTGTAAGCAGAAAGGTCCATCTATAACTTGAATTGTTTGCATGGCGGATTACATGGAAAATTTGGGAGTTTCCTTCACCATAAATGCAGTTTTATTAAGTGGACTGTAGTGTACACAAGAATAGACGAACTCCAAAAGGCACATGAATTCCAATATAGAATGTGCAAAAATGGCTGAATGCATGTGATCATTTCTCCTAAGCCTGTACCAAAATAGTAAGAGCCTGCTACGGACAGCTAAGTTACAGTAGAACCTCACAGTTACGAACACCTCAGGAATGGACATGTTCATAACTCAAATGTTGGTAATTCTAAACAAAATGTTATGGTTGTTCTTTCAAAGTTTACAACTGGACATTTACTTAATACAGCTTTGAAACTTTACTATGAAGAAAAATTCTGCTTTTAACCATCTTAAAGGAAACAAGCACAGTTTCCTTGCCTTGCTTTATTTTGGTGGGGGGACAAGGGTGGGTCTTTGATGCCTGACTGCATCCTTCCAGGTTCCAAATGAGGTATGTGGTTGACTGGTCAGTTCATAACCCTGGTGTTTGTAACTCTACTGTACTCCTTTATCTCACATGGTAGGAACTAAATTCACCCCTATATTGACCCTTATGAACCACTTATGTTCACTTAAGCATCTTCTGAAACCTCTCCTCTGACATAATGCCAACAAAAAAAGCCTTGATAATGATTAGGCAGCTGGAATGCTGTGAGTACGGCTTGTGCTGTTCTTTGTTATGTTACACTTCTCATTTACCGAATAAACCTTTATTTTTTCTCTTATACTAGTTCTTCGGGACAGGGAATGTTTTTATTGCACCTGTACAGTGTCTAGCCTGCAGGTGCAGCCTCAGTTCTAACTGTAAAGTGGTCCAGAGATCATAGATCTTGTGCAGGGCCTCTGGACAGGAATTAATTTAATCCTTGGTGCTGAAGGTTTCAAATTCAATCCCTGCTGATGACCACAGGGTCTGTATCCATCCATGGATCGATACAGACCTGTCATGGCATTAGAGAGAAACAGGAACTGAGTTGTCATAGGGATTTCTTTAACTCCCTACTCCCCCCCGGGGGAGGGGGGGGGGAGGGAATATTGTGTGTGTGTGTGTGTGTGTGTGTGTGTCTGTATTGTTACACACACACACTTGCTGACAGGTATTTTGACATAAATTACCAAAATAATTTAAAAACTGGTGTGATTATGCAGTGTTATTTTGACAATAAAATTTGTAGATTTTAAAATATTGTGTGCAGAATTTTTAGTTTTTGGTGCAGAACACCCCCAGGAGTAACACATTGTTCTTGAAAAACTACACTTACCTGAAGAACATAATCCAGAGCTATGTGCCGAAAGCATTTTCGTGTTGCAGTGAGAATGTTGGTGGCCTCCTCTACTTCATGTTGTTTATTTCTTTGAACTTGAGCATTTTTTGCTAGTGCATTTTCTTTTTCTTCACTGACTTTTTCAAACTGCTTCTTTGCATCTTTAAATTTTCTAATATCTCTAAACAAAAGGGGAGATGAATTGCAATATCCTTGGAAGGCTCATTTTGTTGATCATGAAATATTTAAAAATATACCAAATTTTAAACCTTTTCTAACATGGTTCCATTTACAGGTATCATATTTGATCTTTTTATTATTTCCCTTTTCCACCTTAAATATCTGGATCAGGTGCAAGTTACAGCACAAGAATGATGGAAGTGTGATTGTCCTGGCTGCTCTGTTCTTCTGAACAAGTGAGGGAGTATAATTTGAAAGAATACATCTTGTAGACACTGGTATATTCCTTTAGTCCAACCCAGGGCAGATGATAACCATGATTAAAAAAAATCTGATTTAAAACAAAAAAGGTGGGTTGCTTTGTATTTTCTTTAAATAGTTTCCTAATTGTTACTAGAATTTCAAATTTAACAGTTTTTTTCTGCTGAGATTCACATTAAATGTTCATCTACCCTGAAAAAGACAATCCATGATCTCATTCAACATCTCTACTGTGATACCACCACAAACTCAAACACAAAATTGGTAAGGAAACAGGCCATGCTATGTTTGAAACCAGCACTACCTTCTGATGTATTGAACTTCAAAATGTCAAGAAAGCTGAAATGCTTCAACCAGGTCATACTCTTCCTTTACAGTTTGCAGTCTGAAGTTAACGGGACTTGTGCTTCTAAGTGGCTTAGGTGCTTTTGACATCCCAACCGTAGGTGCTTAAATATGAATCTTTGCTGTTAGTTCTGAAGTACTGTTTTAAAGTGAAAGATTTTATGACACTAAGGCCCCAATCCTTCAAAAACGTATGCACATACTAATTTTATGCACTGTGAGCACAGTCCCACCAAAGTCACTGAGACTACTTCCAGGGCAGAATTAAGGAGCTGCTTAACTGTTTGCAGGATGAGGGCCTACAAGAGAAAATTTTAATACAAAAGCTCCTCATATGGAAAACACTTCTGCTCATGCTTAACTTTAAACATATTGATAGTTCCACTGAAGTCAATGGGACTACTCAGGAGTAAAGTTACATATCTGTTTCAGTGTTTGCATGATCAGGGCCATTATTTTCAATCTTTTGTTTTTTGCCCATTATAGTTTCGTAAAATTAAAATAAGATACCATCCCAGTAGTGACATTAAAAAAACATCCATAATTGAATTCATTATAAATGGTATTTTAAAGTTGCAATAGTACAGATTTTCAGATTAGTTTGACAAACACTCAATGCATGACTTAAAGCAATGATTTAAAAAAATACAATGACTGAAAATGTCTCCATGCCAGTCCAACCCCTATTGGGCTGTTGGGTTATTTTTGGCAAGTTTAAGAGGTGCTATGCAAGCTATGGCTTGACGATTTCCAAATATCTTCAACCTCTCTCAGAAGCTGATTTCACTTCCTAGTTGGTCTTAGTGGAGATATTTTTCCTTGCAGTTTATTAAGGTGAATTTATTTGAAATGAAAATTAACTTACTCTTTAACGAACATCTGAAGCTGTGTTTTAATTGATCTTTGGGTTTGGTCAAATAGGGTCTGAAAGAGGAAAAAAACATAAAAACTTCGTTCAGTAAAGGATTTGGAAGTACTGGAGTCCTTTAATTTTAGGCCAAAAAACATCTAAAGCCTTTAATTCTGCCGAAGACCTGGATCTCTTTAGGCCATCTCTCTGAAGTCTCCAGGTCTAACAGTAGATTTTGCATTTAAACTGCATTTCTCATTATTCTAATTGTTTTTAAAAAATTAGACATATTTCAAAATTAAAAACATCTTTCACCTGAAAAGTCTTCGCAGCATACCACTATGCAGCAAGATAAAAGAAAAGCTAAAGCTACTCTAGTGACAAACTCTGGCTGCTGCTCTTGTACTTGTTCCCAATGATGTGCATATGAGAAAGTTTAAAGCATAAAGCAGGGGAAGGAAGTTACCCACCTTGTGAAGTTACTGTAGTTCTTTGAGATGTGTCCCCCATGGGAGCTCCATTTCAGGTGCACATATGCCCCAAGTGCCTTTGATCGGAGATTTTCACTATCAATCTCCGTTCGGCCCATGCACGCGCCCTATTCATCCTCATGCCCTGCACCAAGACTATACAGGACTTAGCAGGCGAACCTTCCTCAGTTCCTTCTCTACCACAAAGTCCACCAAGGGAACTTTGAAGCAGGGAGGAAAAGAGGGCAGGCAGTGGAGCATTCTACCTAACATTCATGTGCCCGCACGATTACACCTCATTCCAAGAGGTTAACGAAAAATAGTGAATTAGACAAACCATTACTTAGCTTAACTGTGACTCTGACATCTTGTCCCTATGTATTTCATTCTTGGTGCACATGCGCCCCATGCACTCAAGATTGAATCCATTTGGCCAGCACAGTGTTGTTGGGGCACCTCACCCAAAAGCATAAAAGGTGGGGTGACCACAAACATCTCAGTCCCTTTGCCAGTACACAATTCAGATAGTAATCTCTGCAGCAGCGGGGAAAGGTCGCAGAATATGTATGGACAACATCTCTAAGAACCACAGTTTCCCTAAGGTAACCATTTCTTCTTTGAGTGCTTGTCCAAGTACACTCCTCTCTTGGTGACTGAGAAGTAGTAATCTGTATGATAGGAGGTGGGTGCTATCTAGTCCTAAGGCTCTCAGAACAACTAATTTGGTGGCCACAAAGTGCAGCCACCAACCCTCGCTGGTGGCTGCTCTCACACTTTTCCTAAAATACTTAATTAGCATTAGGAACAAACAAACATGCACACATACATGTCCAACTCGAAATTTATTTATTGCTAGCTAGTAAGTCTGTTGTGAAAAGTGATATTAACTAACATTCACAGCAGACTTACTCAGCCCTGGCAAGTCTGGGGACAAATTAAGCCCTGGATGGGTGATCAGGGGAGGCAGCTGGGGCCAGTGAGACAGCAGGGGGCTGGGCCCAAAGCCTCGTGGCCAGAGGACAGAGCCCAAAGCCGGAGCCAGATCCTGCCGCCCCGCCACCCCAGGGCTGAACCCCAAAGCCTGAGTCCCACAGCCCCTGGGAAGGTGAGGAACCCATGGCTGCCTGCTCCTCCACCATTGTGCCCCAAGCGTCTCCAGATGGGGACAGGGCTCAACCCCGATGGTGGCCCCAGCAATCAACACCAAGGCAGCGTATCCAGGAGCACCAGGGAGGAGCCACTGCTTCCCCCCTCACCCTCCAATCACAGCCCAGGAGGCTGTGGCCACAAGAGGGCACGGTGGCCGCATTTGAGAAACGCTGTAATCTAGTCTGACCTCCTGTCAAACACAGGCCATAGAACTTCCCCAAAATAATTCTTAGGGTAGATCTTTTAGAAAAAAGATCCAATCTTGATTTTGAAACTACTAATGATGGAGAATTCTCCACAACCCTTGGCAAGTTGTTCCAATGGTTAATTACCCTCATAGTTAAAATGTATGCCTTAATTCCAATCTGAATTTGTCTACCTTCAACTTGCGGCCACTAGATTCTATTATACCTGTCTGTGCTAGACTGACGTGCCCATTAAATATTTGTTCCCCATGTAGGGTTTTTTATAGACTTCAGGTCACCCTTTAACTTTCTCTTTGTTAAACTAAACAGATTGAGCTCTTGAATAGATCACTATAAAGCATATTTTCTAATCCTTCAAGCATTCTTGTGGCTCTTCTCTGAGCTCTCTCTAATTTATTAACATCCTTCATGAATTGTGAACACAAGAACTGGACACTATATTCCAGCAGCAGTTGTAACCAGGCCAAATATAGAAAAAAATAACCTCTCTACTTGTACTTGAGCTTCCAGATGGAGTCCACAATGGTACAAACTACTGCTGTGTTCAAACTTGGCATTTTCTCTGTTTTCTGTTCTGGACTGATCTGTCACAGCTCCAAAGAAGGAAGCTGCACAAAGAACAGAGACACTGCATCTGCTGTATCATCTCTGTTGTGCCAGAAACATTGAGCAAACAATGGAGAGGGAAAGCAAGACTCAGTCTGGCAAAGAACTCTGGCTACAAATTGGTTCTGTTGCCATTAGCCTGCTAAGAAGGGAGGAGTAACCCACAGTTTCCAGATCTGCATCAAAGGGTGCAAAGTTGAGTTCCAGCAATATCAGCACAATCAAGGCATACACATTTCAAATCCATTAAGAATTAAGGGCCATAAATATTATAATATACCATTAGCTAGCAAAATCTGTTTGTTTAGGTGAAGTGGTCACAATCATCCTCCAATTACCCACACTTACTGTGTGATAATTGATCATTTCCTGTAGGCTGTCAGAAAACTTTGTCAAGCTCGTCTGTAAAGAAAGAAAACAAATAGGTAAAGGTAAATCCCATCAGATATGGAACACAAAAAGTAAACCTTCAAAAGGCTATAGATTTTCCATTATACTGAGAACATAAAGTGTATAGCAAGGGTTCTCAAACTGGGGGTCGGGACCCCTCGGGGGTCGCAAGGTTATTACGTGAGGGGTCACGAGCTGTCAACCTCCACCCCAAACCCCGCTTTGCCTCCAACATTTATAATGGTGTTAAATATATAAAAAGTGTTTTTAATTTATAAGGGGGGGGGAGGTCCACACTCAGAGGCTTGCTGTGTGAAAGGGGTCAACTATTGCCAAACAAAAAAAGAATGATTCCCCAGCTGCTGCAAATCAGCATAGTTCAACAGAGCAACATCTCAGGTGAACTTCTGTATCCTTTACAATGTCTCCATGAAAAGTGTTATAAAGCAGTGGTCCTTGGCCTTTTCAAGCAACTGTATCCAGAGGTTAGCAAACAAAAAGCTACTTGGAATTCACACATTTTCAAATTTCATTAATTACAAATGATCCAGATTTTCCATGGAAAAAACTTTGCTGTTTTATGTGCATTTTTCAGTAAAATCATTTTCAAACAAAAAATGAGAATTTTTCAGTTAGATGTAAACTTCATATTGAAAACATACACACACACACACGACATCTTCACAAGTTTTCAATGAAAAATACGTAGGCCAGGTCTACACTACAAACTTACGTCAGTATAACTGTGTTGCTCAGGACTGTGAAAAAATCCACACTCCTGACTGAGTTATACCGTCCTAACCTGCAGCGTAGACAGCGCTACTGGTGGTGTCCCCAGGGGTCAGTCCTAGACCAGTCCTATTCAACTTATTCATAAATGATCTGGAGAAAGCGGTAAACAGCGAGGTGGCAAAGACGACACTGAACGGCTCAAGATAGTTAAGACCAAAGCAGACTGTGAAGAACTTCAAAGAGATCTCACAAAACTAAGTGACTGGGCAACAAAATGGCAAATGAAATTTAATGTGGATAAATGTAAAGTAATGCACATTGGAAAAAAAATCCCCAACTATACATACAACATGGGGGCTAATTTAGCTACAACTAATCAGGAGAAAGATCTCTTGGAGTCATCGTGGATAGTTCTCTGAAGACGTCCATGCAGTGTGCAGCGGCAGTCAAAAAAGCAAACGGGATGTTAGGAATCATTAAAAAAGGGAGAGAGAATAAGACGGAGAATATCTTACTGCCCTTATATAAATCCATGGTACACCCACATCTTGAATACTGCATACAGATGTGGTCTCATATCAAAAAAGATATACTGGCATTAGAAAAGGTTCAGAGAAGGGCAACTAAAATGATTAGGGGTTTGGAACAGCCCCCATATGAGGAGAGATTAGAGAGACGAGGACTTTTCAGCTTGGAAAGGAGGAGACTAAGGGGGGATATGATAGAGGTATGTAAAATCATGAGTGGTGTGGAGAAAGTGAATAAGGAAAAGTTATTTACTTGTTCCCATAATATAAGAACTAGGAGCCACCAAATGAAATTAATGGGTAGCAGGTTTAAAACAAATAAAAGGAAGCTCTTCTTCACTCAGTGCACAGTCAACCTGTGGAACTCCTTGCCTGAGGAGGTTGTAAAGGCTATGACTATAACAGGGTTATTAGCCAGGATGGGTAAGGAATGGTGTCCCTAGCCTCTGTTTGTCAGAGGGTGGAGATGGATGGCGAGAGAGAGATCACCTGATCATTACCTGTTCTGTTCACTCCCTCTGGTGCACCTGTCATTGGCCACTGTCGGCAGATGGGGTACTGGGCTGGATGGGCCTTTGGTCTGACCCATTCTTATGTTCTTATGCTACGTTGAAGGGAGAGTTTCTCCGGCCGACATAGCTACTGCCTCTCGGGGAGGTGGATTAACCAGACCAACCAGAGAAGCTCTCCCATCGGTAGAGTAGCACCTTCGCTACAGTGCTACGGCAGCAGAGCTGCAATGGTGTCGCTGCCGTGCTGTATGTGTAGACAAGCTCTTCGTTGAAATAGCAAGTCAAAATTTCAGGGGGCGAAGGGAGAAAAATCACACTTAAAAGGAATTTTATGCAGAATTCCATAGAACAAAATTTGTATATTTTCTAGGACAAGTTATACCAGTTTACCAGACTAAAGAACTTAGCTGTACCAGACAACATTTGAATTTGAAGTTATGCCTCTGCTGAAATGGGCCCAGTGCAGTGCAGAGGTAGGCCAGGAGAGTATTTTATTTACAAAAAGTGCTTTATCTCAGACCCATGATCTAAACTGATGCTACCTATTTTGTGGTTTATTGTAGTCAAACCTAGACCAGTGGTTCTCTAGCTTTTCCATACCAATACCCAACCCCCTACATAGGAAGGGGCACAGTGATTGTGACCATCATGCCTGTTCAGCACCCCCCAACTTGAGAACCCTGTCCCAGAATATTTTTTGTAGGGGTGTGGCACAACCCAATCTCCAGTGCAGGTCAGAACCCAAAACTGAATAGGAGATTGTGCCATGGCCTGGAATGAAGCCTCTTCATCAAGACAGATGTGCTAGTGATGGTTAAGTAAGTTTGTATAGAAGTAGCAAGAATGAGTAATACTGTAAATGAAAGATTTCTCCAACACTTGCTCCCGCTTAAATTATTATATGTTTCCACCTTTTAAATATTTAACCCTCAAACACTTACCTCAACTATTACGTCCTTATTGGAATACTGTGCAAGGTCTCGAATTCCATTCATGAAGTGCTTGTTGGCAGCACAAAAAGCTTTACCAGTATCGATCATCGCAATGCAAAGCTTTACTAGCTAAAGGGAGGGGGGGAAAATGATCATAGTAAATTAAAAAAATTTCAGTTACTTTGTTACACAGAATTTCAAAGTTATTTCCTGTGAAAGACAACCTTTATAGGTACATAGCAAGCGATCACACACAGGTGCAGTAGTTATTTTGACCCATTAGATAAGCCAAGTTGTTGTAGCAGATTTAGTCCAGGCATAGGAGAGAGCCTGAACTAAAACAAATACTTTAGAAACCAATGATCTGACTTCAGTATTTCAGAAATTGCTGCTTAATTTTGTCCTAAGCTGTATGAAAACATTTAACCGCAAGCTGTTATAGACTGATCTCACCAGCATTCCAAGAGACTGTTTAGAGTGCTTGTGACATTAAGAGGTTTATTCTTCTCACCATCAGTAAGCACAAATTCCCTTACAGTTAACCAAGATCACACATACTTTCTTCAAAAAGAGAAGGCAACTCCAAGTCATCACCATCAGTATGGTTCAGCGGTAGCACTTTCACTTCCTCAAAGGAGTTTGGATTTAGTCATTCTATTTTATTGCTGGGTTATTACCAATATTGTCTTATTGATGAAGTACTGCACTATCATGCTGTTTCTGATAGTGAAAACTCCAGCATCTTAATTCATGTACGCACTCTAAATGAAACATTCTGATTTTCAAGGTGGAACGTAAGCTTGTGCTTTGTGGAAAATGGCTGCTCCATTTACTTACAGAGTCAGTGAAATATCAGTAACTTACTCATTACTGTGTAATGCACCTTGACTGTTTCTTAACTATGAAAAGGACTCAGTATTATTTTTCTCCTGCCCCATTAACTCAAAAGTTCTACACCTCATGCCTAGTTGTTGCTTTCAGATCACCTTGATTGATTTTTGCTCTCTCTGACTTGACTGCAGCTGGAACTTCTACAGTTCCAATAAAGGTTAAAAAAAAAGAGAAAGTTTACTTTTGCAGTATCATTATTAGAGCCAGTTGTGTTTAATCTACAACTATGTGTGAATCTCAGACTTGTAACAAACCAGAAGGAAGCAATATGAAACTGATTTAAAGAGGAGCATATTACCCACCATGCATGCAAGAGGAAAGAATTTCTCCTATTATACTTTTATAAACACTATCCTATTACTGTATGAAAGAACTGGAAGATCAAGAGAAGCAGTGAATGGAAACATCCTGGTCAGGTGGAAAGGGGAAGTACTGGGGGCATTTTAAAAAAAAAAGTTACAGAGTAAAATAATGCAAAGAAAAATGTACTTGTTTGCAAGGTTCACATTAAAATAGCACAAAAACTCAGTAAAAGTAGAATCAGTTAAAGGTGACGTGATGGCCAAGAGGAGTCAATTTATTTTTAAAATACATGTAATTGCAAAATGCTTAGTGACGACGAGCACTGGAATTCAAATGGGTAACTTGCACTTCAAGACAACAGCAGAGATACAGTAGTGCTGAGTGACCTTGTAGAAAGTTCCTCTTGCTTCCAGCAACAACCCACCTTTTGTCTATTAAATAGATTTAGCAACAATCTGATACTTTTAACCTTAGTTCTATTGCTTCTGAAATCATTTATTATATGCAAAATTTACAATTTTGCTTATCTATAGCTGTGACTACTATCCCAAATCTGGTTTAGTACTTAACCCCTTGACTGTGCCTAACACAAAAAGCAGGTCATAGAAAATGAACGACTGTGCTGCTGAATGTATCAGGTACCATCCTAACGTAACATTAATTGCAACAGAACATCAGCACTGCAACAGTTGCCACAGAGAATCAGAATCAGAATAATAGGTTTATTTGATCCTGTTCATCTGAATTTTTTTAAGTTTTCAAAGTGTACACAATCAACTTAAGCATCTTACCTTTTCAAGTTTCAGTTCTAATTCTGCCACATCTCCTTCCACTTCCTCTAAAGCAGCCCTGCAAAGTTAAAAACAATATATTGGAAAGTAAGACTTTACACAGAAAATACACTTCATCTTTTATTTTAAAAATTCTCTTGATTTAGCACGAGGTCTCAGTTGCTCATATTAAGAGCTTTCATGAGTCCACAGTTTCATGCAGACTTGAATGCTTAAGAACACAGTTTAGACTAGCATGGGTTATAATGGAGCACAAAGGAGGCGACATGCTTAATCCCTTGCTAATTGAATGTGCACCACATTACCAGAAAAATAGTGACAAGTTGGCTGGTTTGGGGAAGAAGGGCTGGTGGAATTGATTTATGAGAAATATTACATATGTATAAGCTTGGCTAAGCAATGACTAAGGCAGTGGTTCCCAGATTGGGGTTCATGAACCCCTGGGAGGTTTGCGAAATGTTACAGGGGTTTCCCAGGAAAAAATTCTCTAATGGCGGACAGAGCTGTCCCTAGGAATCCCAGGTAGCATGGGGCCAGCAGCCCAGAGCCCCTGGACTTCCAAGAGCTAAGCAGATCAAAGCAAGCATATCTATCACACTGAGGAGCTTTAAACTTCAAGACTACTTATAAGAAATGGAAAGGGAGGTGGATATTTTTTGATGTTTTTAAAATTAAATAAATAGGCAGCTGGTATTGTTTTTAAAATTATGATGAAGAACAAGTTTAAGCTTTGGGTGTAACATGCGCTGTTTGCCTGGACTGCTCAAGACCTGACTGCTTGTGTAGGAGGAACTGTGAGTTGGCTTCTTAAATCCCTTCCTGCCGTTCCACATCTGATACTCCCTGATGAAACATAGGAGCCTTGTCTTATAACAGGCTTATTTAAAGTGATACAAGCTATGAAAGTGAGATCTTGGAAGAGTGCTGCTATTTTCATAATGTAATAAAAATACTATAATCATAGTAGTGTGTAATAAGCATGTGATAAAAGCAACATTTTATATTTCCAAGATCACTGCTTTTATAATTTATACTCAGGTAAAGGAGAAAATCCCTGGAAATATTCATTTTCAGGAGGGGGTTCACGAGACGACATTTTAGTGAAAGGGGTTCACAGGTTGTTAAAGTGTGGGAACCACTAGACTAAGGAAACACATGACAACTGCCTACAAACATTTGAAGATGATAGCACCAAAGGATGAGAGGAATCATGTGACACACTGAAGCTTAAATTCTTTGGGGGGGCAGAGACTGTCTATATTATGCATCTCAGACAGTGCCAATCACCCTGTATCATCATTCAACAAACAATTAGAGGATGAGCTTTTAAAAAGGTGAAATTTAGACTGAAAAATCAGAAAAAAATCACACAATTCATAGATTCATAGATATTTAGGTCAGAAGGGACCAATATGACCACCTAGTCGGACCTCCTGCACAACGCAGGCCACAGAATTTCACCCACCACTCCTGCAAAAAACCTCTCACCTATGTCTGAGCTACTGAAGTCCTCAAATCGTGGTTTAAAGACTTCAAGGAGTAGAGGATCCTCCAGCAAGTGACCCGTACCCCATGCTACAGAGGAAGGTGAAAAACCTCCAGGGCCTCTTCCAATCTGCCCTGGAGGAAAATTCCTTCCCGACCCCAAATATGGCGATCAACTAAACCCTGAGCATATAGGCAAGATTCACCAGTCAGATATTACAGAAAATTCTTTCCTGGGTAACTCAGATCCCACCCCATCTAATATCCCATCACAGGCCATTGGGCCTATTTACCATGAATATTTAATTACCAAAACCATGATATCCCATCATACCATCTCCTCCAATGTACACAATAATGTATCTGTCTTTGTAGTAAAATACCAGATGACACACTTTTAGGTCTTGTGTCAAGTCTAGTCAGATTCTGTTTTTCTTTCATATTTATGTGAGCTAATACAAGCTGCTTGGAGAAGGCATTTCTAAAACCTACTTTATGACCAGAGTGGCTTATGTGGTGGTCCCACCTCCCCTTTGAGAGGTTTAAAATTTAATTTAGAAAAAGATCACTGGTACTTGAAACATGCAGCACTGAGAACTACTTTATAGATTAAGGGAGGTTTGCAAAAAGTTTATTACCATATTAGAATTGCTCAGTCTAATGCTTGGGACTTTGAATCCTTCCACTTCTAGCAATAAAATGCTGCATCATGAAAATCTGCTCATTTACTTTCTCTGGTATAAACCCAGCATCTTCCTTCTCTCAATCTTGCTCTTCTCAGAATGATAAGCCTACACTGCACCATTTTCTGCTGTAATCCTCAGCAAGATAAAGTCAAATGCTTTTGTTCAGTTATTCATCTATGACAAAGTCAAGCACCAGTGCTTGTCTTATGGCAATATAGCTCTCAAGCTACACAACAATCTACCATCCTGGTCTCACCCCCTCTTCACCTACATTTACACAGCGTTCTATGATTTCACTTAACACCTAAAGATCCAGCCTTTTGCTCCGTTTTAGTACACTGGAATTTTCCATTTTCCTTACAAATTTTGGTAGCTCTTCCTCCAATTCACATTTGTTCACAGAGACCAAGAAATACAGAGCTAGAAATCCTAAACCCTGGCAAGTTTATTAGAGTCCAGTTCTGTAAGGTGTTGCTGATTACCCTCAGTGGCTTCAATGGGAGGCTCTCAACACATCACAGGATGTGGTACATCTATAGCACTACTCTCTCTAAATCTAAAAAACGTGTTCTCCAGCATCAGAACATGCAGGATTTCAGGTATGACAGAGTCATTGATCGCTCCCTTCCACCTCCTGCTCATAAGGGATTCATTTTCACCTGGTCTCTACAGTAGGTACTTGTTTTTCAAAGGAGAGCTGGGATTAGGGTCAAACAGAAAGGAAGAACTGAATAGGTATTTAGATGTTTAGATAGCAAATTAAAAAAAAAAAAAAGAATGAATTAATTCTTCAGTACATTTGCCAGGTGAGGGTGCCATCCTGAAAACACACTCCTAACATTACTTATCTGAGTAAAATTACATTCATGCATGTGTGTTCTGCAAGATCAGACCCACAACGCGTTAATATTAGGACAGACAATGAATGGGCTGTCCTTCCTGCACAAGGAATGTAGTAGTAGCAGTGTATCAATGAATTTTCAAGCTACTTGAAAAGAATGAATTATTGCCATATCAGAGAACACACTGAGAACAGCTCATCTCAGACTGTTATACTAACAAAAAAAATTGTTTTCTCTTTTTAGTTGCCAGAAGGGAGGCGATGCAAACTAAAGCAGGCACATTTTCTACACTATAAGGCATCTGGGGCAGGGATCATTTAAACCTCATAAAAACTAATTCAGACCTAATCCCCATACTTAGTCAAAACTCTAACATGGGAAGTAGTCATAAAACAAGACCAAAAGTTGAGTACCAGGAATGCTTGTCCATTAGTGAGTGAATTTCCAGAAAGAAGCAGGATGTGGGGTTAGGGCTTTGAGCCACTGTAGTCTCTAACAGATTGACAGTTTTCAGAGTAACAGCCGTGTTAGTCTGTATTCGCAAAAAGAAAAGGAGGACTTGTGGCACCTTAGAGACTAACCAATTTATTTGAGCATGAGCTTTCGTGAGCTACAGCTCACTTCATCAGATGTGAACCTGGATTTGTGCTGGAAATGGCCCACCTGTTGATCACTTTAGATAAGCTATTACCAGCAGGACAGTGGGGTGGGAGGAGGTATTGTTTCATGGTCTCTGTGTGTATATAAAGTCTGCTGCAGTTTCCACGGCATGCATCCGATGAAGGGAGCTGTAGCTCAGGAAAGCTCATGCTCAGATAAATGGGTTAGTCTCTACGGTGCCACAAGTACTCCTGTTCTTCTAACAGGTTGGTTTGCCACTAGGACTAAGGGAACAACTCTACTGTCTTGATTCTCACTCATGCAACATGGAACATTTATAACCTCCTGAGCTAGTCAAACCCAAGCAGGCAAAACAAAACCAGAGCAGCAGTTGAAGGGAGCATGATGTCTGGTGCAAATGAGTTACCTCTTCTCTTGCACTGCTCAAGATAGTTAAGACCAAAGCAGACTGTGAAGAACTTCAAAAAGATCTCACAAAACTAAGTGATTGGGGCAACAAAATGGCAAATGAAATTTAATGTAGATAAATGTAAAGTAATGTACATTGGAAAAAATAACCCCAATTATACATACAACATGATGGGGGCTTATTTAGCTACAACTAATCAGGAAAGATCTCTTGGAGTCATCGTGGATAGTTCTCTGAAGACGTCCAAGCAGTATGCAGCAGCAGTCAAAAAAGCAAACGGGATGTTAGGAATCATTAAAAAAGGGATAGAGAATAAGATGGTGTGAAAGTTGAAATATAGTTGTCAGGAAGAGAAACATTAAAGAGTGTGAGACAATGGGTCCTCAAACTAATTAACTTAGAGCTCCTACTGAGCTAGGAGATTGGTAAACGTTAGTATGCAAATAAGATATGTATGTATATTTGTCAGTTTCTGCTTCCTCGTCTCTTATGTTAAATTGGCTTTCCCTTATCTGTTTAAATAAGTTAGCTTGAGCTTTTGCAGGAGGCTCACATATTGGGTGCATTGGCAAAGCGCTTTGCTAATAAACAGAGTGGTCTGACTAATTTTGAGAGTCTTGAATCTGACTGACAATTTGGAGGTTCCACCGAGATGGCAACCATCTTCACTGGGGCCGTGTGACTCCTGACCATTCTTAGGACGGCCGTGGCAAGCCGGCACCTGGCCCAAGCGGTCCTCCACCAGAACGAAAGGGTGCATGACCACAGTGAAGTCTACACCATCAAACCTGTTGGTTCCCACTCTGTTCTGGTAGGGATCCTGGGATCTGACATCAGGAACCTGGTCAGGTAATTATTTCTGTGTTTTGTCTGGACTGAGGACTGTCTTGTCTCTGTGTCTATCCGTCCTCCCTGTGGTGTGTTCGAGTCTGGGCGCCATCTCCATCCGGTGATCGGCTGACCAAAGGGTTCCTGTCCCCACGGTCTGAGTGAGTGAAATCTGCACAATCGCAGC